TGTACAAGGCAGACCATTTATTGTCTCCATGACTGTTTTCTTCAAATCATTTTTTGAAAAAGTGATTGCCTTGGCAAAGCTTATCACTAGACTTGTTTTTCATTGTTAGTCAGTATGATGCTCATGTAAATGTAAAGTATTAAAGATGTATTTACATTAAAAATATATTTTTCATAGCTGAATCCCAAGCAAAGGTAGAAGAGTAATGACAGAGATAAATGCCGACCAGCCATGTGTGATTTTGACATTATAACCAGTTAAGGATATTCAGAGCTTGTATATTTTCTCATATATTGCCATTTCAAATGACTTGATCCTCATGTTCTCAACTGACAATATAACACTAGATGGTAGGAAAGTTGCAAATGCCAGCAATAGCACTAAATGTCACCATAACTTTTAACAGGTGCATTTGGAAAACCCATTCCTACATTCAGATGTGCAACTTCACTGGATGACAAAACAAGCTTTTAAAAGCTTTATTTTTCTCTTGGTTATTTCAGAAGTTGCACATTAATCCTACTTGGCTATAGGGTAAGTGAAAAATGCTATGGTTATTTATGTTATCTGTATGTGTGCCTTTACAGACCATGGAAGGAGGAGCTAGATCACCCAAACATAAGTTAGCTTTCTTCATCTCAATGAAAGCAGCAATAACTCTGCCTGGAATACTAATCTCCACAGGGAAACAATTTTCCATGTTTCTAAAAAATTGAAAATCAACTTTGTTGTAGAAACAAAAAAAATGAAGATCAATTATCTGTATGGTTTATGCCCAACTGTATCTATCGGTCAATAAAATAGCATCCATTGAAATAGATTCCCTTCTCCCCACTCCAGCCACCATGCTCCTGATAAATCTGGTCTAGAAGATTGGGGATTCCCTCAGAATACATTTGGATTTACAAAGAAGACCGCAGGGGAATGTGAGGCAGTATTAGGGTCTACTGGAAGCATGGAGGTCCACTTGCACAATGCTAGATATAAACCTAATTTTGCACTGGAGCGCAGAATGGCATAGGGAGTGTCAGCAAGTAGTCTTTTATCCAAGGACTGACTACACCCAAACTAACTTAGCTTTAACAAGTTGTGGCATCATGTGTCATTATACTATATCTTAGGAATCCAAAGAGTTCCTCTATATGCTCAGCAGAATCTTGAGTTCTGATCCTTTGAAAAGCAGGTGCCTTTGACATATTACAAGCTACTCTTAAACACTATATTTATTTTTTTAACCAATTGCAAGGTAAAGTGTTACAAAAAATGACATATAGACAGTTTCAACGGGATTCACAAACAGTAGGACAAATCAGCAGATTAAGTTAACAGATACCATCTTTGAACAGTATTTCAGCGTATGGTTTCATGTGCAGCTGGAGGACTTGTGAAGTCCTCTCATTTTCCCACAGAGTCAATAGAAAAACCCCTCTGTTTCGAAGTCTGTTTGTATGTTGGATCACATGGAGAGAACAACTGACAGAGAAACCCAACAGTAAATCCATATTGGGGTATTCAGAACTAGTTGTACAATTCTTTGGATCCAATTTTTCAGCTGCTAAATTTTGGTACAATCAGTGACATTGCTAAGAAACCAAAACATCTGAGACCCAGCCACAGAGATGAATAGTTGTATATAATTTGTGCATGCGTGCAGATGTGGAATTGCAAGAATGAGGAAATCAGCCAATTTAAACCAACTGGCTAGGCACAATCACGAAGTACTGGTGGTCGCCTCTCACCTTTCTGCCCAATTGACCACCCCACCCATAATGTCCTTGCAACCCTCATTACTGACCAGGGAAACAAGTCTGCATCTTTCATATTCTCTACAAGTTCACTTCCTGTGGTACTGGGCAGAAGTTCAGTCCTCCAAGTCCGCAGCATCAGCACAGAGAGCTCTGTGCCCCATTTGCTCCACCCCACCTCACCAGTGATTGACTATTTTTCCCAGCTTTCCTTACTTCTCCCCACCAACCATCTCACAGGTGACCAGAAGGCAGCCTTTCTTCATCACGACTGTGATCTTCCAAACCCTATCCATGCTCAGCAGCTCATTTGGAGTGAGAATAAGCTCCAGGATGCCTGGCTCAGCTGTCCCCTAATATCCAGAGATAAAATCATGAGATTTGGGACCAGGGACACTCTAGAGAGAGCTTAAAAATGCCCTTGAACATGACCAATCAAAATTACCATTTTAAATGACAAATTAAGAATTGCCTCCCACATTGATTGGTGGAATTCAGAAACATGCAGAGGTCACAGATTCTTGAAACAAACATCTCTTTCTGCGTAATATCAAGAACCACAGTAAGTGAAGCACAGCATCTTCAGCTGAAATCAGTAACAGCATATCTTTTAAACCCTCTTCCAAAAATACTAAGAAATGTCTTATTAGTGCTAATAGAGATTCCTATGCCAGAATGTTATAGCAAGGGACACTCTACATACTCAATTTGGCTGAAAAGGAAAATATTTAATATGATCTTTCTAACAATAAGTGGTAACTTTTCTTCATTAAATTGTAAATTCCCACATTTGAAAAAACAGTCCCCTTCGTAAGGGTACATAAAATGTTTTTATTGAAAGGTTGCCAAGATGGAATTGTTCTCAATGGAGTAAAAACAGAGTAGATTGACAGTTTAAAATATCTAAAATATTTCTTCTCACATCCAGATTATTTATCACCCAAAGGCTAATTACATTTGTTTTTATAATTTGTCCTTTTCTTTTAACCAACTGCAAAACTCCAAGGACAAGCAGTACACACCACCAACACCAACACCCAGTTCCTATAATAATATTATTCAAAATCAGCTAAGCTTGCTCTCTGTAAGGTAACACTGTGTGTCCTGCTCAGGACGACTTTGCCTGTCCTCCAGGTACACCCAAAGGGCAACGTAGGCAATAATGACCCATCTGTTCACTACTGGCAACTAGCAAACTTCTAATGAAGACAGATGTGGGTCACCCTGTACAAACATGCTGCAGGGTGCTAATGAATCCTCCTAATGGTCACTACCTGCCACTTTTGACTGATTGATGAACAAAAGGGTTAAGCTTGAAAAGCTAAGATGAGTACTACAGACAATCATCAGTCTTACTACAACATCTCTTTCACTCTGACACTCTTGTTCTTTCCTGTCATCTTTCTCAGCATATATATAAACAGATTGTGAGATACACAAAAGACCCCTTCTAAATCTGGTAAAAAATTGGCTTCTACATGGAATGTATACACTATTCTCATATGATGAACATTTAGATATTTTTATATGGAAGCCTCTCCAAAATATCAAATACCAACAGCAAATAACATTTAAGGCATCAATCAGGTTAGGGAACTACCTATACAAGTCACAAGAAGAACAGAGCATACACAAAGCTACCTAAATAGTCTTCCTGGCAGACCATGCCTATACAAGAGGGCTGAGCTTAATACAACCATTATCATTCTGCACATATCCCTGCCCTAGTTTGGCTAATCGTTACTCTTGCCTACAAACATGGATTTTTATTAACTTCTGCAGGAAAAAGCACAGAATAGCACACACCAAGGTATCATCTGCTTTTCTATGTCATGCCCCATATTGAAGCCCATACCAAAGTAAAACAAACTATAATTTTATAATTTAAAGCAGATGCTTAAATGTTCAACTGTTCCTATTGTTTCTTGTTCAGTTTCTCTAGATGAAACATCATTGCCTGATTCAGCAAATATTAAAATGTGTGGCTAGAAAGTAAGAGAGGTAGCAAGAACCAATGCAATCATCTTGCCATGAAATTCGGAACTCCAGAAGTCAAACATTATTGTATTATCTTCAGAGACCCCCAAATTAATCTATATTGTTACATTCTTTCAACCTTTCAATATTGTTACAATCTATATATTGTTAGCTGATTTTGTTACATAGGCATGTCATAAGCAGAGCCGGCTGGAGCCGGGAATCAGACTAGATGGCCCAGGAGGCCCCTTCTGACTCTCTCTGTTTCTCTGTTTCTAAGTTTGTATTCAAATGTACCATGAATTGTTCAAGGTGGTGAGATCATATTATGCCTGCCTTGAATGCAATGGTTGATAGTTGCTTTGTGGTTTCAATTAAAGATGTTCATTTTAGTTTTCAAAGCCCTAAATAACTTAGGACCAGGCTATCTAAGAGACTGCCTGTCTTATTATGAACAGGCCCAAGTATTGAGACCTGAGGGAAAGGCCCTTTTGGGGGCATCATTACTCACAGACACCCATCTTTCAGGCAACTATGAAAAGGCTTTCTCTTTTGTCACCTGCAAACCTCTATACTACCCTGAAGAATGAAGAATGCCCTCCTCTCTTGCAGAGATGTGCATCTGTGGAGATGTGAAGACACATCTTTTTAATGCAGCATTTAAAAGTATATAATAATGTTAACATTCTAATGCTTTACTATATTGATGTACCAATTTTATTGTTTTAAGGTTCTGTTTTAAAATGCTGTGTACTACCTTGATGACTTTTTAGAAAATAAGATGATATATAAATGTTAGCAAATCAATAAATAGCTCCACAGCAAGCTCAAACTGAATGGTGAAGAATTCTATACTGAACAAACTAAGGTTGGTGCTATGTAAGCTCAAAAGGATTCACCAGATCAAAGACTTCCTTTAACAGCTGTATTTGACAAGGAATTATGAGAAATATTGTGCATTTCTGTCACTTCTATTGGGAAGGAACATGATGCATGATTTATCCAATTTCATTCATTGTTCTAAATTCAGATAAGATGGCAATATTGAAGCACTTAAACACTTATGATTGTCAAAGAGCTTTTTAAAAACTTTACAAATTTGTCCTCACAAGAATCCTGTATAAAGCATGAGCAACTGATTTCCTCCATCACCAATTTGGAAAACACTTTTATTCCAAAGCTCCAGTATACGCTATATGTACAGTCTTTCGTATTGCAAGGTTTCAGTTCCATCATAATTGTCAGATAAGATATCACTCTATTTTGCATTGACATTACCTTCTTTTCTTCCTGTAATACTATTTCCTCATGATATCGTGGAACATAGAGGTCACATTTTTTCTGGTCTTCTTTTCTGATGTTGACATTTTCATAATGCACTGCACTTTCCCTTTAGAAAGTTTGAACAGACTTATTAGTCATCTCTTTTGCATGACTGAGCATCTAAATACGCACAGTGAAAGTTTTCCACCACCCCAACCTCCTGAGCAGTATTAGAAACAGCTACTCTTTGCAATAACAATAAGAAGCTATTTCGCTCACTAATAGAATAGCCTAAGCTTACATTGTGGTTCTGTACTATGAATTCAAAGAATTTATTTTTCATAGCTAGGTTTTCTTGCCATGGGTAAACTGTAATAAAAACACAGTAGAGGCAGGAGAAATTCAGGAAACTGACTAACCATCATACATGAAAAATAATGCCTCAAGTGAATCCAGAAACATAAACATCTGCAAAATTCAAGCAGTATTTACGCTGTGAGATATAGTTATGTTTCTCAGCATTCCAAAATTTCCTAATATTTTCATCTGTGAGCAGCAGGTGAGGGCAACACCTATGATCCCTTACCATCAGTCATGCTGGCTGGTGTGACTGGGAATTGTACCTTAAAACATCTGCAGGCCACCAAATTGTCTATCCCTTAACTAGAATATATTTGCATTTAAGGACACAAATCTGATGCCAGCATGTGTGGTCTGGCCCATAGTAATTGCAGAAATACAGGAAAGTCATGTTATTTTTTCTGTATTGTTTAAAATGGGAAATAGAACGGTGCCTCTGTGCATATTCATTGCCTAGTTTCGCAAGACACACTCAATTCATAAAAAGAAAAATGCCATCGGCTATCAGAAGACAAGCCTGTGTTCACTAGTCACATGCATTTGCCTTGATATTACAAAATGGCACTCCATATGAGCAGCTCACAGACCACTTTGATGGGCTCATTCCTGCCACAACAAAGCATAGTTTATCATGATGTCCAAGCTGGCCCAGAGACTAAATTGTTGCCCAGGTGGCAATTTCAATACAAAGCAGTGACTGAATTACATACTGAATTACGTCATAATCTGCAGGTCCAGGGCCCTCACGTGGCTTAAATTCATGTCGCTTTTCTGTTAAATTGCCAAAATGCACTCCTTTATATTTCATTGTAGGATAAGTTTCATTCTGGAAGACAAAGAGGAAGTGGTTTTTGTTTGTGACATATAGCTTCTTTATAATAGCTAAATAGAGATTTGAACACAATCTTCCTTGAACTAGTTCAATATCCCATACCATTCTGGCTTTGATCAAAATATCACATTATTCAGACTTACAGAATGACCTCTGCTTATACCTTTAGCAGGTAATTTACCTCATTCACATACATATATCCATGGTAACATTTAATGAATTTAGATTTTACAAATTTATGTATTTTTCTCAGCTTAAGGAGTTGATATTTATGTAGCAACCAACCATGACTGTAACTGTAATACAAATGCACTTCCCATAAGCAAAAAAGAAAATCAATAAGACAAGTTCATTAACTAATTCTAGTCTCTATCCATTTTGAATGTGTTCATTCATTTAGATCAGGGCAGTCCAACTTTTTGTACCTCGAGGGCCTTATGAGGACTTTAACACAGATCCCGGGAGCCGTACAATGAATTACACTTCCTTATCATAAATATGCAATATATTTATTTAATTTAATATATTTAATTAATTAATGCAATTAATATATTTAACCATTAAACAAGGGAAAAAGCTAATATGAGGTTTCGGAGCTTGCTTTTCTCTGCGAGTTCAAAGAAACAAAACTGTCTGTGTGCCAGAAAACAGGGAGAAGGAAGCAAAGAAGTATTGATATGGTGGGCCTGTGATCTCACAGGCAGCTCCTTCTCCGACCATAGCCCCAGTCCAATGCCCACTCTTCTGAGGTGGCCCATCCCTTTCCTGTTTCTCCTGCCCAGAAACCCTCTCATGTGGCCCCGCCAGCCCCTCCTTCCTTCTTGGAATTGGCGTACTGTGCCTCCTGTACTCGAGCCCACAAACTCTCCACGGCATGCCCAACCCACTCCTGCTCAGTAGCTGAGAGAGCAGGATGAGATGTTGGCCTCAGGAGAGCTCACTGCAATATGCCCATGCCATTGCTGGGATCCAGATGTGAGGGAGGGGGGTAAGCTCTGATCAGAAAGAGGGTCACAGAACAAGGCCTTGGGGGCCAGATGCAGCCCACAGGCCACACGTTGAACCACCCCAATCATTTGACTTTACCATACAGTTTTGTTGGTATCTCATATATGAATAACTGATTTGTTGCCTATTATGCATACACAAAATTATACAACAAATGGGAACCTGTCACACAAGTACACCTGTCACACAAAATTGTCTTTACTCTTTATACAGGAAGCACTCACATGCATGTTCACTATAAACTCAGTTCCATCAGGTTGAACGAGACTTGCTCTTCCACTTGCACTGCATTTTGCACCGAAGTCTAACAACACAGGCCTAGATATGTCTGTTCAGAAGTAAGTCCCATTAGTTCAACCAGACAAACTCTCAGGTATATGTGAGTAGGACCGAAGCTCTGTAATTACTTTTGTACATGAACTCTAATTAAAAATCACACTTTGAGACTCATTGAAGATTTTTGATGAACAATTAATATTCTATGAGTTCTAAAAAGAATCTTGAATCCAGTTTAGATAGACTAGGGTTCCCACCTCTGGGAAAGAACTTGCTTTAATGTTTAAAAAAAGGAGCTAAGAGCTATATTTCTTGCAACAAATGGGATGAAATGTAGGATGATAAACCAAGGCTATTTATTATCCCAATTTAAGAGGGAAAGCACATGCAATTATTCAAAATAGTACTAGAACTTACTTTACAGCAAATACATAGATAAACAGATGATTGTCTCTATAAATGATAAGGAAAATGCTACATATCAAGCAAAATTCAATTTCCTTGTGCCTTAGGGCCACTATATCAAATATTTCACACTAATGGAATTAGAGCACCATCCAGTGGTTTCTACAAGGAATTATTTATTTACAAATTAAGATAACTAAAATATTTTTAGAATAAAAATTACTTTTAAATATGTAGAGATTCTAACGTTAGACTTTCCTCCACTTCTATGTAAAAGAATACAGCACATGCAATCCTGTGTTTCTGAACCATGAGTATTGTTACTGTGGTAGGCTTCCATCAATTTTGCCTAATTCTATACAGATCTTGGGGAGCGGGGGGGGGGGGGGAGACAAGACTCAACCTTAACTCCACAAAGCATTGACCCTGTACTTGCCTACTCAGAAATAAGTCCCATTGAGTTCACTGGGACTTCATTCTCAAGTAAATGCGTATCTAATCGCAGCATTAAACAACACAAATAGACCTCAAGCTCTTAGCATATCCACCAAGTTCATATAATTTGAACTTGTAGCAATGCAATATCTAGATTATTAATTCCCTTCATTAGGTGGGGGTGATTAGACCTTGCCAATAGCATATTAGATACAATTCCTATAGCATATTAGATACAATTAGATACATATTAAAGTTGAATGGCAACCCTATGTAGTTTCTTTGTAATTTCTCTCATTAATGATCTCATCAGGCTACAAATTGTTGGTTGACTAACCTCTGAAGCTCAATTCTAAAGTCTAGTTCTCAATGACATGATAGGCCTGTGTTTGATCTATACAACTCGAGACTACAAACAAGGGTTTCATGTAAGAGAACTCTGAAGAAAAACCTCCCTCCAAATCGAAACTCAGCATGAGGCAGAAGGGTTGTAGCCCACCATCTCCTCAAGATCCTAGTTTTCTTTGTGCCGAGTTTGTCTGGTATGGAGAAATGGTCAATAACATGAGCTGTAGTCTGAGTGCGATAATCCAGCTACAAGTTAACCACCTCAGTGAAAGAATGCCTACTTTTAATCAGTCACATGTATGCGTTTCCAAGTGTATACTCTAGTAGCTCTCCATGGAAGTGTCACATTAATATGAGTAACACCAGACAATGAACTTGTCCTAATGCAGCTAAAATGACATGCCTGGTGAAAATTGAAGGGAACTAATGTCTTATAGACATTTAAAAGTTAACACAGTTGGGATTCTTGTATGCACAGAGAAAGACTATTTTAGCAATACGTTTTAGGAGACTTCAAAATTACAAGTGAGTGAAATTATATTTAAATTTACCTCATTAAACAAATGCAACTTAATAGTGAATTAAAATACCTTATATGTATATTAAGATGCAGCTTATTATATGAGCCACAGCAAACTCAAATATCATTTGTCGCTTCATTTGCAAAAGTATTTAACATACTTTTTTTAAAGCCAAATCTATACCAAGAAAGAAATAAGTTAACAATTCATACATACATGGTCCTTAACTAAATGAATTACAGTTATGATGAAGGCAAAGAAGAATATAATACTGAACTGGGTCCCAACTAAGCAGCAGCTATTTCACCCACCTGAAGTGAATGTCACTCAGCTCCTCCTGATTGCTCACTGTATTTTTGTGATACCCATATTGGTTGAAAACAAAACCAGTCAAAAGGCTATGTGTGTTTGATAAGTACATCTGAAACTCCACTTCTTCTCCACTATTGCCTCCACTGTTCCCAAAAATAGTAACCCATGCCCTTGCAAATGCAAAGAAGGAAGCATCTAGTCCACATTTACAAAGGAGAGACGCCTGCCCCCATAGGCCTTCCTCGCTGGCAAGCAACGCAGAGATCCTTACACAAAGAAAGCCTTTTCCCACCTTGACAGAAGGGTATCAGTGGAGGTCAGCAGGAGGAACTGAGGTGCGACACAAGCACCAATCTGAAGCAGGCCTGCTCAGGGGTTGGGGCTATGCTTGCCACAAACTGAAGCCATTCTATTTGGGCAGTTGGATTCACACTTTCAACAACCCCCATACCCTTGAACTACTGGCCCATGTCTTGCTATATGCACACTTGCAAATTTCCCTTGAACAATCAATTCCAGGAAGCTCCAGTATTAGAAAGAACATTCTATTCTGATGTTATTGGAAATATTGAACTTCTAGACACATCTGTTCTTATATCAGTGTATATAAGAAAGATCTGGATCTATGGATAGATTTCTTAGTTCTTGACTTCCAGCAGGTTAACTCAGCAACAAAGTAACTCTCCCTTCCATAAGCAGTAAGTTATACAGCTGAAATGAAGGAAGCTTGGAAAACAAGGAATGGATTTTTGTTTGAAGAATTGTGCTCCATTAATTTCAAATACTCCAAAAAAAAAAAAAAAAGATGTCTGTAACAAACAAGGTCCCATAAGCCTTATATTAAATCATATAGTATCAAGGATCATAAACGTCCATATTGCACCTTTTGTTGCAAAATTATGTGGTAGCTTTTGACAAAAACTAATAATTAATCACAACAGCTAGATGATGTTTGTAAATTGAGGACCTTTTAAAAAGATTGGTTTCTTTGACAGACCACTACGAAACAGCAAAATATGCATTTGTTTCAGTACAGAATCCAAACTGTATAGCTAAAAGTTTATTAGTATCCATGAAAAAACCTTAAGATCAATACATATTTGACATTTACAAAGAGCTTTTTAGTGATTCGACTCAGAAAGCAATTTCAAAAGGTGCTCAAACTATAGGCTATTCTTTTTTTGAACTCAATAAGCTTGAATAAAATTATTCCCTTTCACATACACAGCTTAAGCACAACATTAAAAATAATATAAATTGACTACTGCTTAACTCACTAACCTGTGTATTATTCAGGTAGAATACCCTATCCATAATGAAATTAAAAAACCCTTTTAAAAACATAGACTGAAGAATAAATTGATGCACTCTTAACTCTAAATCAGCACACTCTTTTTTTCTGAGAAGTGTTGACAATACCAACTTCAAGGTCGCTGTCAACTTGCTATGTCATTAGCAAATAAAATATGGTTTAATTGAAGCAAACTCAGCAAGGAGGTGCATTATTTTAAGTGAACATTGCAATATAACTTGAAGTATTACTAATCGCCACTCCTGTTGACAGTAAAAATGGATGAAGGTGCTTTGGAACTTTTTTCATATGACTTTCTCGTAATTAAATATGGAAATAGATTCCATGAAGAATTAAAAGTCCCAGTGTGCATTAATCCTAACACTAATGGACTGCTT